AAGGCCTCCTTCGGACCCTATTGGCTGCCACATCTCCTGAAGGAGTCCCTTTCTCTAAAGACCACCCACCACTGATGTTTGTCTCTAAATCTGCTAGTAACATAGCTTTATAGTTTGTTCTAGTAATTGATACTGATACTGATTTATACATTCCTGGTTCCAGAGCCAGCTCTGCCACTCACTGCTGGGGAAACTTGGCCAAGTAACTTAACCTCTCTGAGCCTCTGTAGCTCAGCAGCAAATCAAGGGCAATCATGACCTCTGCCTCACCGAGTTATTCAGAGGACTGAATGACAGGACAGATGGAAAGGACTTAGCACAATGCCTGGCAGGTAATAAGCTCTCAGTAAAGGCATCAGTAGGAGGAGCACAGGGGTAGGAATCAGGCTACCTTGGATGTGAACCCCGGCTTGGTTGGCCACTTGTGGCTGTGTGAGTTTGGCCAAGCCAATTAACTCTCTGAACCTCATCTCCTCCTGGGAAAAAACGAAGATCGTAATACCTCCCCTGCAGGACTGTTGTGAGGATTAAATGACAAGATGTGTTTTGATGCCCAGTGTGGCCCATGTGGGAATTTCTCCTCCTCACCCGTTGACTTTGGCAGCGCTGGCCTTGCCAAGGCTGGAGCCGATCCCACTGTCCATTTGCTCAGCTTCTGCACCTGGACTGCCAAGTGTGGCTGGAGAAGGTCAACAAGGACCATGTGAAGAGCTCCTCGCAAATGACAGATCTGTGCTGGGAAACTTCAGCGAGGCTCTTCTGCTCCCAGACAGTCCTTCCGCCTCTCTCCAGGGCACTTCCTCTTGTGTTCCACACTGGCTGGAAAAGGTTCCAAACCTTTTCCACCGCCCGCTCACACTCCCTCCCCACCGCCTGTGCCTCAGAGGTTGACCTCAACTCTCTCTTGACCAACGTCACCAAATATGAGCACCTTTTTCTTCACCTCCCAACACCTCTGATCCTCACTGCCATCTTTTCCTCTCTCCCATCCCCCAAACTCAAAGGTTAGAGTGTCCCTCTCCCTCCAAGCCTTTAGAATTTACTCCATCACCTGCAACCCTTCTCCATTGGCTGCACTATCTCAGGCAGAAAAACTTTCTCAAATATGTTAATCTTCCCCAAGTCTGACAGCAACCCAGCTACTCCCTTATTGAACTCTTTCATTCACTCATCCATCCATTTAAGAAACACTGGTGCAGTGCCTACTATGTGCCAGGCACTGGGAGTACAAAGATGAATACAGTCTTTGCTCTCAAAGTCTTTGCTCTCAAAGTCTTTGAAGTGCAGAGGGAGAGTCAGACTCACAACAGATGATGGTGATATGACAAGTGAGACGCAAAGATCAACGCTGCTTGAAGCAGAGACTAGCTGGGGGTGCCACGGGAAGAAAGAGGAGCCCTAGGGTGACTCTCAGCTTCCCGGTTGGTGCGGATGGGTGGCTGGTAGAGCTGTTCACTGAGACTCGAGAGAAGAAAAATGGAAGAAGCTAGGTGTGGAGGAAGATGGTGTGTTCTGTTTGGGGTATGATGAGTTTGAGATGATGCTGGAAAATCTTCGCAGAAATTCCAACAAATCTTCAGCTTAGGGGAGAGAGACAACTGAAGTGGAATTTGAGAATCCTTGGCATATAGGCGTTGGGATCATGAATGCTCACAGGGTTGCTTTCTGCTGCGAGTAACAGTGATTACACTACAATGACATTTGCTATCTCACATCTTAAGAAGTCAAGAGGCAGGCAGTTCCAGGGTTGGATACAGTGACAGCTTGATGGCTTCAGCCACCCAGGTGCTTCTATAGTGCCTCTCTGCCATCCTCAGGGAGCTGACATCTTCATCAGACTTGTCCCCTCAAGGTTTCAAGGTAGCTGCTCCACCCTCTTACAACCCCATTCAAAGGCAGGGATGAAGCTTTCTTCCTGCACGCTAATTTTCATTGTGGAAGAAATCCTTTATCTTTAGTCAACAGACTTGTGCCTGGGCCTCATTGGCCATAACTGCATCGTTAGACAAAAGGGAATGGGATTACCATGACAGGTTAAACCTTTTGTGATGTACCTCCTGTGGCGGTGGAGAGGCCCACCTTCCCAGAGCACAGGGTTGCCCGATCCCGAACAAAACTGCCAGCCTGTGAGCAAGGAAGAAGGCACAGCCTCTTTTCAACCCTTTCCTCTTCTGACCTCTGGCTGGCCTAGTAGTGTGGACTTGATCCAAACACAGTTCAGTAGAGACGTGAGGAGCTTGGGCTCCTGGGTCAAGCATATCCGGGTTCATGTCCTAGAGCCCCCTCTTGCTAGCTGTGTGACCTCATACAAGTTATCTCACCTCTCTGTGCTTGAGTTGCCTCACCTGTGGAATGGGGATAGGATGGTTCTTACACTGTTGGTTGTTGAGATGATGAAATGGAATAATGCATAGGAAGTGCTTAGCACAGTGCCTGGCATGTAGGAAGTGCTCAGCAAAATCCAGCTATTAACATTTGGCGGGGGGACGACCATTTCCTTGAAATTCTGCCCTTTGTTTTCAAGGCCTCCTCCTCTTTCTGTATCTGGTTCCTCTTCTCCTCACATTTCATCTCTTCCCCAATGTTGACTCCTCTGCCCTTGCTACTTACTAGGTCTTGTCTCATGGCTCCAGTCATCCTCTGCCTTGAGGTCCTGCATGCTCCTCCTGTGTGTCCCATGCCTCTCAGGTTCATCCTGGGGCCTGATGCCACTGCTCCCCATCTCCTGCCCCAGCACCTTAGACTGCATGAGATTCTACCTTAAAAGCATCCATCAAAACTGCTCTAATGACTTCTACCTGCCAATGTGGAACATGTCCTAAAAAACATGGAGAAAAATTAAAATTTGTGCAGAGAGTCAAGAGAAGCCTCAGGCTGACAGGCAGGACTTGGTGTCACTACATGAAAGTCATTCCTGTCTAGGCTCCCTTCCTGGGCTGTAAGAATCTCAGAGCAGAGAAACAGATCACTCATCTATCTGTCACCTTGGTGCCTGCTGTAGAGTTAGGACTCAGAAAAATGTCTGATGAATGAATAAGATTCCTGGCTTTGCTATTTACTTTTTAAGTGACTGAGACCTATACTTTGACTTTCAAAATCTGTAAAATGAGGGGACTAGACTACGTCTCAAGGGAGCCCTTTCAGCATTAAGTGGAATAAATGACCAGGAGATGGAGGGCTGGGCTAGCTGAGGTGGGGGTCTCCAAGGTCTCCAGCAAAATGCTGTGCTCAGATCTGGGGCAGACGGATGGGCTCGGAGAGGGGCTGCCCCGGCCTTCATCTTGGGAGCTGCCCAGGACTGCAGAGGAGGGCATGGAACTGATTTAGGTCAGTGAGGGGCATTGGCTATTAACCCCTTGAATCCCAGTGGCCCACTTGCTGGGTCCCATCCTTGGCTCACCAGCCTAGTGTGGGGCGAGACCAATTTCTAGAGGACATTCTGAGTACCTGTCCTCCCCCAAGCCTGCCTCCGAACAGGCTGTTCTTGTTTACGACCCCCATCCTGAGGGAACAGCGATTGCTCATCTTTGCATGTGATTTGAGAGGGTCAGTGTTTCAGGCCTGGAGGAAACTCAAGCCCCACCAGCCAGCACTTGGCATTGGAATGCTCAGCTGGTCCCCTCCCGGGGCTCATGTGACCGAGGTCCAGCTATAAATATCAGAGGGGCCTCAGACCAAGAGGGAATTCGGGCGCCAGGAGAAGAAGGCAAAGAGGCTCCGACAGGGTGTTTTGTGACAAAGACAAGACACCCAGGTCCACTTAGAGCGAGGCAGGTAGAGGAGGTGGCCAGGCGGACTCCCACACCTCCCTACAATATGGATTATAAGTCAAGCCTGATCCAGGATGGGAACCCCATGGAGAACTTGGAGAAGCAGCTAATCTGTCCCATCTGCCTGGAGATGTTTACCAAGCCGGTGGTAATCTTGCCATGCCAGCACAACCTCTGCCGGAAGTGTGCCAGTGACATCTTTCAGGTCAGTGCTGGGCACAGCCTTGTCCTGGGACCTCGGGCAGCCACTCAGCTTCCCTGCAGTGAAAGCCCTGGTTTCTCAGCCTGGGACCCTTCCATCCCAGACTGGCTCTTTCCCCTCCAATGTGAACCCCTGCAGAGGCCTCTGGACTGGGCTGGGAGGTGGCTCTGGCTGTCCCGGTCCTCCATGACGCATGTTTCCTCTCCCCACCCTGCCCATGGCTCCCCCACCCTTGGCCTGAGCACCACTGTTGAGTCTCCAATCAAGAGTCAAATGCCTCAAGTGATAAGTGGGGGAGGCAGGTGGAGAGGAGAGAGAAACCAGACCCCTGGGGCTGGAGCCAGCTCTGTGGTGGCGGGGGGCCCAGAGCTTTGGGAGGAGAGTGGCAGGGAGGCCCAGGGAATAGCAACATCTTCCCTTCGAGGCTGTTCCCTACAATACGGGAGCAGGAGGGGCTCCATTTCCCCAAGAAAGGAGTGGAGAAGTCCTGGCTGAGAGGCAGGACTCAAGGTTCCCCAGGGGCACTTTATAAAATGTTTTTCACTATTTTATTTTTATTTTTATTTTTAAAAGATGACCGGTAAGGGAATCTTAACCCTTGACTTGGTGTTGTCAGCACCACACTCTCCCAAGTGAGCAAACCGGCCGTCCCTATGTGGGATCCGAACCTGTGGCCTTGGTGTTATCAGCACCGCACTCTCCCGAGTGAGCCACGGGCCGGCCCCTCACTATTTTATTTTTAAAGTAGCAGCTCTAGCAGCTTGCTCTAATTATAGTGCCCATTTCATGAGTGGGCAAACTGAGGCTTAGAGAGACATGTTGCTTGCCCAAAGTCACTCAGAGAATAAACGTGACTTGAATCCCAGTCTGCTGACTCCCAAGCCTGTTCACTGCTTAGTTGCTTCTCAGGTGCTGCGTGTGCACGTGGGCTCGTTCTCATCTGAAGATGGGGAGCTCCAGGTCACGTGGTGTGACAGGAGTGGTGGGATTGAGCAGGGGAAGGATAATGGGAGAATAGAAAGGGAAGGGGCTGAGCCCAGACCTCACCTCTGCCTTTGCCACCTGCAGGCTGCAAATCCCTACTGGACCAACCGAGGCAGCTCAGTGTCCATGTCTGGGGGCCGTTTCCGCTGCCCCTCCTGCCGCCATGAGGTGATCATGGACCGTCACGGCGTGTACGGCCTGCAGAGGAATCTGCTGGTGGAGAACATCATTGACATCTACAAGCAGGAGTGCTCCAGGTGAGACCGCCGGGCTGCTGGGAGCCCATCCTCTCTCCCCGCCATTCTCTGCCTGGCTCCTTCCTCCTCCGTCATCTGCTCAGCATCCAGTCCTCTAGCTGGATTGGTGACAGTGGGTCAGAAAGCCATTTCCTTCTTCCTCAGGCAGGAGCGGAGGCCTATGTCCCCCAATCCTGGCTCTCAGGATTGCTCAGTGAACGGGAAGGGGCTCAGATATTAGACTGCCCTCCTGGGAGATACTGAGACAGACAATGGGGGGAAAGAGAGAGGACTGGGAACAGCTAAGTGGCTCTGGTCAGCAGAGCAAGCACCCAGTGACAGTACAACGGCCTTTCTCCCATGTGTTGGGCGGCACAGTGCCGGGCACTGGGAATACTTCATCTTGGTGCCTCACAACAACCCTGTGCATTAGGCATGACTTTTATTGTCCCCATTTCACAGATGAGGAAACTATGGCTCAAAGAGGTGAAGTCAATTACCCAAGCTTTCCCAGCGGGGAAGTGGAAGAGCTGGGAGGTGACCCAGTCGATCTAGCTTCAAGTCTCCCTGTTAATAAAATGGGCCAGTGATAGGCAGAACCTGTGAGTGGTGGAGGTTGTGCAGTGTTGACCTCAAACTGGAGAGAGACACGGCTGTGGGGAAGATCTTTACACACCTGGACATCCTGACCACACTCCCAGGCTGCTGACCTCCCAACACTTGCCTGTCCAAGGGAAGGGGACAGACCAGGCCTAGCAAGAAAAAGCCCTGGCCTGGGGAACTGGGTTTGCTAGTTTGCCTTTGTTACCAATGCATTGTAGGATCTTGGGCAAGCCTTCGGGGCTTCATTTCCCCTGTCTACAAAAGGGGACAAAGACCTCTTATTGTGACTATCAAATAGGATATTGATGGGGAATGTTTAAAATATCAGATATTTATTGAGCACCCACTGTGCACAGGCACTGTACTAAGTACTTTCCGTATATTTTCCCTATCTAATCCTCACAGTAACCCTTTAAGGCATTCTTACCTTCATTTTACCATGAAGCTCAGAGAAGGTCAGAGGTTTGTTTAAGCCACACAGCTAGCAAGTGGTGAAACTGAGAGAGAGAGAGTGTGTGACTGACTCCATGGTGAATATTCTTAACTACTATGCTAGATTGCCTCTCATGTTGCTAGAGCTCAATGCTACAAATTGCAAACATATTGTTGATCATTACATTAATAATATAATTGACATCACACCAAAATAGAAGTCCACCCAACATGGACCTAAGAAGAGCATGTTGTGTTTGAACCCTTTGAGGCTTTTTTTTTTTCCTTTTTGTCTTTTTTACTGACCGGTAACGGGATCACAACCCTCGGTGTCGCGCCCATACCGGGGACTGGCAACGGGATCGCATCCCTCGGTGTCGCGCCCGCACCGCACTCAGCCAGTGAGTGGGAACCGGTCTCCACATGGGATCCGAACCCTCGGCGGGAGTGCCGCCGCGCTCCCAAGCGGCGCACTCTCCAGTGCGCCACCGGGCCGGCCCCTTTTGAGGCCTTTTTGCATAATCGAATGACAAGGACAGCTGCCCTTTATTGAGGGAGGGTCTACTCTGTGCTGGGCACTACACATTCATTACAGACAGCTTCGGCTATAATTGCAGTAGCTCTGGGAGGAAACCAAGACTCAGAGAGGTGATCACTTGCCCAAAATCACAAAATGAATAAGTGGCAGAACAACCTGGATTTGAACCCAGATGCCAGAGCCTAGGCTTGGGAAGATGTGGGAAGGCAGTGGACACAGGCATCTTGTCTCACCTCTACACTCACCGCCATCTCAGGGCTCCCTTCCCAGGGGATGGGGACAGGTAGCAAGGGAGACTCCTGCTTGCATGGGGACCCTGGGCTAACAGATGCAAAAAGACAAGTCTGGAAAGTCATGCAAGGCTGTTTGGAGGTGAGGTGATGGTACTGATGGGGGACAGTCACCACTAGACATTTACAAGATGCTGTTGCATTAGGGGCTGGAATCAAAGGTGGTGTAGACATGGTGTTGGCTCTAAGTGAGTATGTAGTCTAGCTGGGGTGGTAAAACCTGAGAAAGGCACAGATATGCCAGTGGCCCTAAGTGCAGAAGGAGATCAAGGGAGAAAGGCCTTCTAAGAACTTGTGTTAGGGAAGAAAGGGACCGAAGAGACTTGGATCCTAGGAAAAATCTTGACTAGTAGTCAAGGCTTGTGCTGGGCTGTTGGACAGCCCTGGACCACCCACACACTAGTCGTGTGACTTGGGGCACACACACTGTGTCCTTCTCTGAGCCTCAGGGGCACCCCCATGGCATGCTTATTGATTTGTTCTTTCTACCTGTATTTAATTATCTCCTCCTCTATGCCAAGCACTGTACACTGTAAATTCAAGAGTGAAGAAAACAGGCAAGTTTCCCTGCCTTGATGGAGGTTACAGTCTGGTGGATTAAATATAGAAATAAATGAGGCCATCGGTAGAAATTGCTTAGCTCAGAGCCCAGCCCGCAGGAACCAAGAGCTAAGGTGACTATAATTAGAGCAAATGGACTCTAGTCTTCTCTGCCCAGACTTGCTGGGTGACCTTGGGCAAGTCAATTCACTTTTCTGGGGCCAAGTTTCCTCTTCTTTAAAATGTCCCCAGGTCTGACTCTGGAATTCTATGACCCTTCCTATGTCCTCTGAACTGGCAGAGCCTCAGGCCAACTCCAACACTGGAGTTTGAGTCCTGGGATGCAGGGATAGATTTGGTGTCATTGGCTTCCCTGGTCCTGGTCCCCAGTGGATGAAAAGAAAAGGTTTGGGGGAAGCCAACAGCTCAGAACTCAGGGTATAAATCTGGGGTGGCCTGCTGTGATTGGAGCTGGGGGAGGAGACAGGGACTCAGGACCCCTGTGACTTGTAACCATTCTTCCTCCAGTCGGCCCCTGCAGAAGGGCAGCCACCCCATGTGCAAGGAGCACGAAGATGAGAAAATCAACATCTACTGCCTCACGTGTGAGGTGCCCACATGCTCCATGTGCAAGGTGTTCGGGGCCCACCAGGCCTGTGAGGTGGCCCCGCTGCAGAGCGCCTTCCAGGGACAAAAGGTACTGGCTCCAGCCACTTCCACCCCTAGCACAGGCCTGCTGGGCATGGCCCGATGATTCAGGAGGTGGATTTGATCCTTGCAGATCTGCTGAGCCTGCCTTTCAGTAATAGTCCCTCTGGAGGGACTTTCCAGGCTGCAGGGACAGCAGCCCTTGCCTTCCTGGGGGAGGTGGCTGAGCTCATGGGTTATACTTAGAGCCACTTGAGAGCACCTGGGTGTGGCCACAGGGAAGAGGTCAGACCCCAGGGCCAGGCCACCAGGGCCCTCTCAGGCCATGGCTTCTCCATCCCATTGCACTCTGGGCCCAGATACTTCTTCCTATGCCTCTCCCAGGCTTCATTTTCACTGCAGCAGGAGGTGGCTTAGAGCCCTGTCTCTGCGTCCCTGGGCCTGTGGGAGCCCTACCATCCTGTCCATGCAGTAAGCTGTAGCTCCTCTTTCCACACTCCTCCCCACTTTCCACTCTTCTCTTGGTCTCTCTCTTCTAGAACTTTCCAACTCTATTTCTTTTCTTTGTCTCTTCTTTCTTATAAACAAGCTCCTCCTATGCCAGTACCTTGATGTGTGTTCTGGGCAGCTCACTTTCCCTCTCTTGGCCTCATCTGTAAAATAAGGGATGCAGTATCTCTCTGATAGTCTCTGCTCTGGATCTGACCTCTACCCCAGAAAGAGGGGCTACACCCCTACAGGATGCTTTTTCTAGCAGAGAGGAGAGTGAGGGTACCATGCTGCTGCCATGCCCAAGCAGACTGGCTCTGGGACTACTGTGTCTCCTCTTCTTATCCCCCTCCCTCCTCCCATCTAGAGTGAGCTGAGTAACTGTATCTCCATGCTGGTGGCAGGGAATGACCGCGTACAGACGATCATCACTCAGCTGGAGGACTCCTCCCGAATTACCAAGGTGAGGGGACCGCATAGCCCTGCCTGGGGGTTCAAAGCCTCCCCGTGCAGCTTAGTCTCTAGGGAAAGTTCACCCAGGGATTATGACTAAAGGTTGGGGCCTGGAGCAGGGGTGGCCAAGCAGGGCTGTCAGGAAGGGACCAATCCACTCATCCACCTGCTCAACAAATGCTTCTTGAGCACAGCTGTGTGTCAGGCTGTGTCCAAGGCTCTGGGGATGGAGGGTGAACAAGACAGACAGGATCCCTGACCTCAGGGAGTGTCCTGTCAATAATTCCCAGTATTCATGCAGCTCTGATAGCTTTTAGAGCACTGTTCTCTAGTGTGCTGTAGACCAATACTTCTCAAACCTTAAAGTGCATACAAATCACCCTGGGATTTTGCTAAAATTCAGGTTCTGATTCAGTAGGTCTGGAATGAGCCATGAGATTCTGCATTTTCGACAAGCAGCCAGGCTTTGCCCAAGTTGCTGGGTCCATGAACCACACTTTGAGTAGCAAGACTACAGAGGGAAGAAGGGAACTTTTCCATCCCTGAAAAAGCATCCGTGATTTTCCATTTCCACTTGGTGTGGGGACCTGGAGATGAGACGGGGGAAGGGGTCATCATAATTGCTGGTGGATGAAGAGTAGGTTCAAAGGAAGGAGAGGGACATTATGAGCACCCGTAAAAGGCTCCCAGTCTGATGAGGTGCTGTTATTACACCCACTTTACAGAAAAGGAAACTAAGATGTAACATCTGTGTTGGAGAGGAGGGAGCTTCAGTTGGGGAAGGAGGCTTCTAGGGGAGGAGCTGCTTTTCCCCTCTCCTAGGACCAAATGATGTAAAACTTACTGAGTACGGTCTTGGTCCTAAAATGGAGGGAAGAGTGTGACTTGGGGCACATGGGAGGCCCAGAATATGTCATGTCATGTGGCCCTAGAGTCTATTTTTGAAGGAGCTAGCTGTTCTCCATGACAGTAGCCTCCAAATGTTACTGGTGTACTAAGTAGCTGCCTACACATGCTTTCTTCTTGTTAACCCTTTGTTTTGTCCTCTTTAAAATGGGATTCAGTAAGGTCTCTGCCAGCTTTAGCGTGTTTGCTCCTGGGCACACCGGTTCCAGGAAGAGAGTGTTGGGAATAGGGAGTAAGGATCCCACAGGATGTGACTGCAAGATTTCTGTCCCCAGGAGAACAGTCACCAGGTGAAGGAAGAGCTGAGCCAGAAGTTTGACGTACTGTATGCCATCCTGGATGAGAAAAAGAGTGAGCTGCTGCAGCGGATCACGCAGGAGCAGGAGGAGAAGCTCAGCTTCATCGAGGCCCTCATCCAGCAGTATCGGGAGCAGCTCGACAAGTCCACCAAGCTGGCGGAGACAGCCATCCAGTCCCTGGATGAACCTGGTGGGGCCACCTTCCTCTTGGTGAGCAGGACTAAAAGGATCTGGTCAGGGTCAGTTCAACTCTGCAGCCCTGTATAAGGTTTAAGTTGTGCTCATCCACTGACCACCCATGTGCTTTTGGACAAGTCATTTAAACCTCTGTGAGCCTCAGTTTCCTCATCTGAAAATTGGGCATGTAACAACCCCTACCTTCCTCTTACTGATTTTATGAGGATCAAATAAGAAGTTCGTGAAATGGCCTTTTAAATTGCAAAATACAGTGTCTCATGGAGAGACTGACTATTAATTGAGTACCTACTGTAAGCCAGGTACTGAGGTGGAGACACAGAGATGAATGAGACACTGCCCTGCCCTAGGAGAGATTCTCGGGGAAGACAGAAAAGGTTCAGCTGTAAGATTTCACAGTTCAGTTCAATAAAAGTTTCCTAAGTTCCAGACAAACCTGGGTCAGGTTTGTGCTAGACATTGAGTAGGAAAAGGTGATTAGGATATGATTCTCAGCTTTGAGATTTCAGGGTTTAGGAGTACTTGGACTGATACTCCTAGAATCCAAGCTTCCTGCCAGGACAGTGAGAGGGTGATGACCAAGTCTGTGCAGCCCATGGACAGAGAGAAAAGATCCAAGTTCTGTTCAGCTCAGGGAGGGAGCAGGTCATAACTGGACTAGAGAATAGTATGAAGTGTCCTTCAATAATACCCAGTCACTGGTTTTGCTGATTTCTTGGGGTTACCCCTTCTGCAATCCTAACCGTTTGTTCTCTCTCCCCCCACAGAGTGCCAAGCAACTCATCAAAAGGTCAGTGTCTCCCAGAGGCTATGATCCAAGTCCCCAGCTCCCACCAGGGCCTCTGACTTCGGTCCATTGAGCCCCCCTGCCTTAGGTCTGTTGGGAGAGTCTCCCTGCAGGCTGGCTTTCCTGACCTTTGCATCCTCTACTTTCTCGGAGCATCCGTTCTGCTTGAGACTGGAGAGAAAATACTCCACCCCTCCCAGGGAGCCTGTGGGTGGAAGGCCTGGGTGTGGACATGGCGTGTGCACTCATGGGGTTGGAGGTGAGACACCCCCTCCTTGCACTGAGCCTCAGAAATCTCACCTTGCCTCTCTCTCTCTCTCTCCCCCACAGCATTGTGGAAGCTTCCAAGGGTTGCCAGCTGGGGAAGACAGAGCAGGGCTTTGAAAACATGGACTACTTTACTTTGGACTTAGAGCACATAGCAGACGCCTTGAGGGCCATCGACTTTGGGACAGGTAAAGGAGTTGGTGGTGCCACCTGTCTATTTGTCTGTTCGACCCCTGAAAACCAGCCTCCCCCCCCACTGAGTGCCATGGGGAGGCAGATACACTAACAAAAATCTCTAGAATCCAGTCAGACTCATACAGCCAACTTCTAGATGAGCCCAGAGGCTAGCACAGTGCCTGGTGCATAATTGTTGCTCATAATTAAGTACGGATCCACAGTAGGGAGGCATCTTGAGGTGGTAGATATAGCACGGTGTCTGGAATCTGGAACCCGAGTTCAGATCCTGGTTCTGCCATTCCTTTGTTATCCGTGTGACCTTTGACAAGCCCCCTCCACCTCTCTGAGCTTCATCGTTTAACTTTAATAATAGATTAAAAGTGGACTCTCTAATAATGACCATCGCATGGTGCTGTTGCAACAAAGCAGATACTGATGCAGAAGGGGTTTGTGGGGTACTAGATACACATTAATTGCTGCCTAAAGCTCGTCTTAGCTTCAGCTTTTCAACGCTAGCATCTATGATATTCAGGTACCTTAATTTATCTACATTCTATCCTCATTTCTGTTTACAATTACTCTTCCATAGACTGCCTATAATAGTTGTTACAATAAGAGAGAAAACAAGGAAAGTGGCTGAGGAGCAATGTTAATTTGATGAAGGTCACACAGCTACAAGGTAGTTATTTAGCAACAAAGAGAGGGCAGATCCAATTTTGCTGAATGTTGCTTTAGTTTGAGAGGTGATGTTTAATGACTTGCTAAGAGAGAGAAAAAGAGAGAGAGAAAGGTGTGTGCAGGAACAAGGAAGAATTGTAAATGGGCTGGCATGAGAGAGAGAAAAGCTTCCTGGCACCTCCTGTGTGGGCTCTTCTGCAAGCCTTTGGTATCTGTTGTTAAGTCTATACCCCCACTTGTGGGTAAGGGCAAAATACACTGCAAAGTTGAGTTACCAGTGGACTTGGGTACATCCACTGCTGTAAATTATTTGCTCCACTGTCACCCTCCCTAAGCTAGGATACTCAAGAGTGGGTCATACTGTGTGAACATAGCATTGCAAAGACCTGCACTACCCTTTATAATCTTCCCGAGCCTCAGTTTCCTCATGAGTAAAATGGGAAGAGTACCAGCAGCTACCATTTACCGAGCACTTTCTATGTCCCAGGCACTAAGCCTTTGACATAAATTCTATCATTTAATACAAGTTTATGAGATAGGTTCTGTTATCATCTTCATTTTGTAGTTGAAGTAACTAAAGCTCAGAGAGGGTGACTGACTTGCTCAAGGCCACACAGCCAGTAAGTAGCCCGTGCAGATTCTACTGAGAGCCGTTGGGCTCACAAGACTCTTGTGGGGATTATACGAGACAATGCATGTACGGTGCTTAGCACTGCGCTTGGCACATAGTGAGTGTATTCGTCTGTTTTTGTTGTTTATAACGAAATACCTGGAACTGGGTGATTTATAAAGAAAAATGACACTTATTAATTACAGTTTCTGAGACTGGGAAGTCCAAAGTCCATTTGGTGGTGGCAACAGTGACCCAGGGGTCTCACATTGCAAGATGGTGGAAGCAGAGAGAACAAAAGGCAAACTCTCCTCTTCTTTTAAAGCTCTCAGAACCGCACCCCTGACCACCATTTTTAATCCATTCACTACTGCACGGTCCTACAATCCAACCACCTCTTCAAGGCCTCCCCTTCAATTACCATAACAGGATTTCCCACCCTCTTAACAGTTACAATAGGGGCTAAGTTTCTTTCTTTTTTTTTTTTTAAAGATGACCGGTAAGGGGATCTTAACCCTTGACTTGGTGTTGTCAGCACCACACTCTCCCAAGTGAGCTAACCGGCCATCCCTATATAGGGATCCAAACCCGTGGCTTTGGTGTTATCAGCACCACACACTCCCAAGTGAGCCACGGGCTGGCCCCTGGTGATGAGTTTCTAATACATAAAACTTGGGGGACACAATTCAAGCTTCAATGAGTTTTGGGGGGACATAATTCAATCCACTACAGTAAGTCCTCACAAATGCTGTTGTGAATAGTCATTGTGATGATGATTAAATAACTATTAAGCCTCACAATCAGCTTAGCATAAGCACAGCCATGTTAACCACGTCCTCCCTTTGTGCCTTCCCTTTCTCTTAAGCAAAGTGCTTTCTGAGAAAAAACAGATTTTGTGCAAAACAGAATCTTGTGCAGAACAGAAAAACCACAGAGCTGTTGCAAAGTGCTGTATGCTCAGAATAGCTCCCCAGCCCCTTCTCCTAATTCAAACCCTATAAAACCCCTAATTAGTCTGTTTAGGGGTGGGATCAGTATCTTTCAGTCTCCCCTCCAGGTTTGCTGGAAAAAAACTCCCTAATGTGGTAAGCATTTGGCTTGGAGTCCTTTAATCCTTTTGTCTTGCTGACCTAACAACAACCAAACTACCTGGTTTATGCACTGATCCCAGTGACAAGGCTGGAATTTCGGCTGTCATTTTGGAGAAGCTCTTGACAAATGCTTTGACCCTCAGGGCCCCAAAGGATTAAGGAGGTAGCTTGGGAGAAGGGGGCGGGGAAGGGGCAAGTTCACTGTTAGTGGAGCTTGAAGGTGACATCCCAGATTGAGCAAGTGAGGACATGGGTTGCAGTTCAGTCTCCGTCTCTCTGGCTCAGCATCAGAGCTAATGAGCAGAGATGGCCCAAGAGGTGCTCCCCACCCACTACCCATCTCTCTGTAGGCTAAGGAATGAGGAAAACTGGACGGAGGTGCTGAGCAAGCAGGTTTCAAAGTCTGGGCAGATTCCTTCAAGACAAGGATTCTGATTCTTGAGAATTGAGGAGTTGTGTCCCGTTCTCCCTAAGTGACGTTTATCTGTCTGAGAGATGTGCAGAAGGACAAAGGGTGCTTCCTCAAGGTCCCCTCTCTGGTCACGGGCAGAGCAGGTGATAGAAGCTCCTGGAACAAAGCAGGTCTTGAACCTCATTCCCTGAGAGGGACGAGAACAGGGAGACACGGAAGCAGGGCCTCTGTGCAGCTTGGGTTTGGCAAGCCCCTTACCTCCTGGGCCACTGTGGTCACTTGTGCGGCTGTTGGACCCTGACTGGGCATGGAATGGGGTTTCCGATACGCGTTCTCTCCAGCCTGTCTCCCCTTTGAGTAGCTCCCGAGAAACCAGACCCGTCCTGACAAAATGTTCTTTGTCGCAGATGAGGAAGAGGAAGAGTTCATTGAAGAAGATCTGGAAGTGGAAGAGTCCACAGAAGGGAAGGAAGAAGGTAAGAAGTCCATCCACCTCCTTCTGCTCATTCCCTCATTCCTTCATTCACTTACAGCAGCAGGAGATGCACACTGTGCACAGCTTGCTGTGCTGGCGCTGGGGACGGCTCTCAGTCCTGTTGCCAGTGTGCCTTTTAAATCTACTTAGAGTCAAGTCCTGTTCTCTTTACCCTTAGAGGAAAAAACAAAAAACTATTTACAATAAAAAGCTCCCATTTTACATCTAAATGACCTTTCTAAATGGGGAGGCTTATAGTACAGGAGAGGTAAAAGCTGAGCGGGGTGGGGGTGGGGTAACAGACAGGGCTCTTGAGCTGGGCTGGGCTCACTGAGGTGTTTTGTTTGGCCAGCACAGTGTTTAGAAGTTTTTTAATTAGTTGCTAACATTTTAAAAATTAGGAAATTTTATTAAAAGCTTTAAAAAAGGAGATTTCATCTAAGAATCTGCATTTCCACCTTCCTGTGAAAATTTGGGAAGAACAAACTATGCTGGGCTTGAACTTCCCCTAACCCCAGAGAGCTGGCTCTGGACATGGCTGTCCCCTTTATAAAAGGGACATGCATATGCCAGTTTTGCCTGGCCCCACACTGTCAAGCCTGCCTGCTTCACTCATGGGTGTTATCTGCTGGGCCTTTGCTGGAATCTGAGTTTGCTAACCTGGCAGATTTTGTTTAAGAGCCTTGGTTCTGAATCACAGCTCTACCACATACTAGCTGTGAGTGGCTGACAACTTGTTTGAGTCCTGGGCTACTCTTCTGCACCTGGGGGCATAATAGTACTGACCTCAAAAAGTTGTAGTTGGAAGTAAATTAGGTAATCATTTAGCACATAGGAAGGACATGTTTGCTAATTAGCACATGCTTGCTAATGTTATTTTTCAAGCCATAGTTACTGGAACTAAATTCCAATCCAGATGAAAAACATAGGGTAGTCTTTTGTATTGGATCTACCCTCCGTAGTGTTTTGGCAGCTAACTTTTTTTTCTTCTTCTTTTTTTTTTTTTTTTTCTTTCGGCAGCTGGCCAGTATGGGGATCTGAACCCTTGACTTGGGTGCTATAACACCATTCTCTAACCAAGTGAGCTAACCGGCCAGTCCATTGACAGCTAAATTCTATTTTGGTTTTAAAAGGAGGAGGCCAGGCAGAATTAGAGTGTAATGGTTTTGTCACTGTAGCCTGGTAAGCCCTGGATCCTTCTGAATCCTCGTCTCACCATGTCCTCTGTGTTTTTTTCTTTATTTCAGGACACCAGTAAGAAGCTGGATGAGTGAGAGACCCTCTAGATGCAGAGAGACTGGGGAGGGTGGGAATGGGCCCAGCTGCCTCGTTGACAGGCCCAGGGTGGGAGGGGTCGGGGCCCCTGGAGGGGCAATGGGGAGGTGTGTCTTCTCTCTGCTCAGAGTGTAGGACCCCCACTGCTGTGGCCAGCGGCCACTGAACCAGAATTGGAAACGTGCTTGAAACAGTCACACAGGACACTTTTTTACGTTGGTGCAAAATGGAACATTTTGTACATTTTTAAAATGTGATTTTTGTATATACTTGTATATGTATGCCAATTTGGTGCTTTTTGTAAAGGAATTTTGTATGATAATGCCTGGTCATTGTATGACTGGTGATTGTCAGAAAGAGGGAAAGGAAGCCAGGTTGATACAGCCACCTCTTCCTTTCCTTGGAGGAAGTGCTGGGGAGCACCCATGGGTCTAGAAAGGACAACGTACTGTAATTCAGTGCCTATCCCCAACACATGGGGTGGTAACTGGGTTTGTGTTATATGTTGTTTTAATAAATGCACAACGCTCTCTTCGTGTTATTACAAAGGTGCTGGGGTTTCATTCGGCCTTTTTTCTGGACAGGAGAGTTCAGTGTGAATGAACAGAAGGCCCAATAGAAGGCAATGGCAAAGCTAGGTTTATGCCCCCCCCCCCAGAAAGAGTTCTTTAAACCCACATTTCCTAATAGGAACTCCACGGAAAATTTTTTCTGGACAGGAGAGTTCAGTGTGAATGAACAGAAGGCCCAATAGAAGGCAATGGCAAGGCTAGGTTTATGCCCCCCCCCCCAGAAAGAGTTCTTTAAACCCACATTTCCTAATAGGAACTCCACGGAAAGCGTGGGTCTAGAAAGGACAACGTACTGTAATTCAGTGCCTATCCCCAACACATGGGGTGGTAACTGGGTTTGTGTTATATGTTGTTTTAATAAATGCACAACGCTCTCTTCGTGTTATTACAAAGGTGCTGGGGTTTCATTCGGCCTTTTTTCTGGACAGGAGAGTTCAGTGTGAATGAACAGAAGGCCCAATAGAAGGCAATGGCAAAGCTAGGTTTATGCCCCCCCCCCCAGAAAGAGTTCTTTAAACCCACATTTCCTAATAGGAACTCCACGGAAAACTGGCCCTGAGATGATCTTCAAATAACAGGTTCAGTGTGTTGTTGCTTTGGTTCTCCAGAAAGCAGAGCCTGAGACAAAGTTGAAATTCTTTGGTTAGAGGTGCAATCCATACAGACGAAGTGAAGGAAAGCGGATCGAGGCTGGCAGGGACAGAAGCAAGCACGAGGTGTCATGCTGCTGAGCTGGCCACAGCTTCACAAAGACCCGCTCTGCTCAGTCACATGAGATGTTTCCAGCAGACCATAAAGAACACAATGTGACTCAAAACAGTTCACTAGAAGGAGGAAGGAAGAGATATTTGTCCACTGGCTCCTTCTCTCTTCTCTGTCTCTCAGAGTTGAAGTTTGCCTCCCAGAGCATTTATCCCCCCGCTGGGCAGCATCGCTTGGGCCCTTCGGTCAGCCTCTGGGCAGCCAGGTCACACACCATACTGTGGGTGCTTCTGTAGAATGTGGAAGTGGTGGGAAAAGCCAGAGCCTCCATGGTCTAGTTGGGTTGGGAAAGGGTACTGGAGCTTCTGCTGCCCCATCATGGTGGACACAATAAAAGCTGTGCTGGAGCCCACACTTACTCCAGGGAAGCCCAAGACAGCCCCCAGCAGCTGGGAATGTGGAGATGGCAGAGGGCACAGTAGCATCCAGGCTGTCCACAAGTAGAGGCCCTGGCAGAGAGGCAAGGTTGAGTGAATCTGAGGCAACGCATTAACTGGGTCTGACACACCACGGACTTAGACATTTGAGGAGCACTGCAGAGTCTGTCCCACATTTTAGATAATCAGAACACAGTAGCAAGTGAAGGGCTCTGAGTAGTCCTGCTGTAAAGAAAGCTAACTAACTCTAGACAAGGACCATCAAGTCCATGGTGCTTGGAACATTGCCTGATCCTTAACTCTCTTAATATTATTTTGGTGGGTTGAATATTTAACCCAGCATTTCCCATTTTATTACTTCACATGACAACCTCCAGAACTAGTGTTCTGTGGAACTTGCTTTAGGAAAGGGCTTTAAACCCTTACACCTTTGCCCATTTTCACTTCTTGGAGTTTTCCTAAGGCTAACTGAGTCTCTAACTGAATTTCAAGGAATCAGATTTTGCTCTCATTTCTAGTCCCTTCTCAAGTTCTGAAGCATTTTGTATTAATTCTTAAAAAATTGTGTAGTACACACATACGCACACACACGAGTGCACAAAACCAGTTGTAGAGATTAATAAACTATTGTAAAAAGAAACCCCTGTGTTACTACCACTCAGGTCAAGAAAAAGATCATTGCCAGCCCCCAGAAGCCCTCATGTGCACCCCCTCCCATCACAGCACCTCCTTCTGCTTGCGGGTAGCCACTCTCCTGTCCTTTTCGACAATCACACACTTGTTTTTCTTTATGGTTTGATCTCCCATAGGAGACTAAAGGAATTTGAGGCCAGAAAGACAGAGGCTTTTATCACCTTGAAATCACAAGAATCAGTATCATAACCTGGGCACATTCTGTCTGCAGATTGCTTTTCCAGGTTACTAATTATGTGAGAAACAGGCATTTCAGTCTCATATCTTGTCACTTATCAGGAGGAGAAGGGAGGGCGGTCAAGGCTGTATAGTCAGTTAAAGTTTAAATTCCAGGAAGATGAATGTTAATTGCAAATAAGGGGCACTCTCCTTTGCCACACAAAGGGCTCTTCCTGTCCTTACAAACTTGAACACTAAAGAGTGGTATGAAGGGTGTTTGACCAACAAGCTTCCTTTAGGATCATGCTGCAAGGGAGAAAAAACTGGCTACAAGAGTGTTCTTCCCATGAAACTCAAATATAGTTCCATAGGCTTCTTGCTGCATCAAGATCACCAGGGAAGGTTGATTGTTCTCTAGACCTTTAATTCTGGAAAATTTTTAAAATACTGAAAAGTAGAGGGAATAATATAGTGTACCTCCATGTCCCCATCTACTCAGTTTTAATGGTTATTGACATACTTTTTTCTTCTATACCATTACCCACTCTCCCCACTGGGATTATTTTAAGGCATTTCATCCTTAAATACTTTAAATGAAATTTCATTTCATCCTTAAATACTTTAGATAAAGTTTCTTTTAAAAAATCATTACCACTATACCATAAAAAATGAACAGTAATAATTCCACAATAGCATCAAACACAGAGGATTTTAAAAATACAGATTCTCAGATCTACTGAATCAGACTCTGAATGCGAAATGTCAGAATCTATGTTTTTAAAATAAAATTCTTCAGGTAATGTTGAGGTCTGGGAACTGCTAGGTCATTTTGCATAGGATCTCCTAGGGATCTCTGAAGGAGCCAGGTAAGTACTACCAGTAGACATGGCAATTTTCAGTATATTGCAGTCTTGGTTAATGCACTTTTGGGTTAGGTGAACTCTTACAAATCAATTAAAATACATCATGGGAAAAGATTGATTTAAAGAAAATCTGCTGTAAAAAAATTTTACAAAATGGGAGTTGGAAGGGGGAGTCCGAGCCCCTGGCATGATGTAGGGGACTCTGGTGGCGGCCGCTTCCGTGATTTGGTTTTGTCCCCCTGAGCAGCGGAAGCAGCGGAGGTGGCCGCGGTGCGGGCGGGGCCGACCCGGATCCCCGGACCCCGGGTTCCGCGAGCGCCGCCCAGCCCGCGGCAGGACCAGGAGCCCGCGCTGGGCAAGGCTGCGGGGTCGGGGAACGGGGCCCCACGGGCCTGCAGCCCGCTGAGGAATCTAAACCTTCTCTCAGAAGTGTCCGACAGAACTAATGAAGACACACAACCGAGGGTGATCTGAAATTGTGACTGGCTCACTAATAATCCCAGGGCAAAGTCAGAGGTCACTGCTCAAGCACAAGTTTTCCTAAGACTGCTCCAAAGATGTTTGAAACAAAGGCTTGGGCTGAGTATGTTGCGGAATGGGCTGCAAAGGACCCACGTGGCTTCTTACAACAGTTATTGTGGCCCTTACTCTGCTGTCCCTAGCAAGTGCTGTACTGTACTGGAAATTGGCCCAGATGATTGAAGCCAGGGAGAAAGAGCAAAAGAAGAAACAGAAACGTCAAGAAAATATTGCAAAAGCTAAATGACTAACGAGGATTTAAAAAAATGGACGGGCTCTGCAACCAGAGGAAACTCATTTGGAAAATTATGCAGCTTTGAAAGAACCCGCTAAGATTCCTTTGGATTTCATGACAGTATTATTATTTCATAAACGAAATCTGACCATATGGAAGAATACTGTAACTTTTAGGCTTGGGAATAGAAGTTTGTTATCTATTGAAAGTTATTGTAAATTAGCATTTAGAAAGGTACAAATTCTTTTTTATAACTGATTTAGTCATTTGCCATTTAGCAGCTCACATATTGCGATGAAAACATCCTGTGGAGAAAAATGACTTTAGATTATGAACTGTATTCACCTAAAGGTTTAAAATGGGATCCTGTTCTGGACAAAGGAAATTAAGAATGTTAAAGTCAGAATTCTCCTCTCTGAGGTGAAAAGTGTGCTTTGGCTTAAGAGAGATACAGTATATAATCATACCTCTTTTATCGTTATTGCTTATTTGTTGGAATAGAATCATTTCTGCCTTTCTCAAAGCAAAATAATATTGAGTACTTCTATTTTCTCCATTTTTCTGATTTTAACCTTTGAGACCGTGGTAATGATCAAGACATTCTGCATTTTTGAAACCTAATTTTATAAAGAATTCTCTTATCCTGACTAGAATATCCACCTACTGGAACTAACAGCTTTTGTACTTAGGAGCTGCCATTTTCTTAGAGGTGACTTGTTGAGAAGAGTAACGCTATTATTTAAAGCTTGCAGTAAAAATACCAAACACTGTAGTACCTTGTAGTACAGGTTTATATGTACCTGTAGTAGCCAGTTTATTCTCTTACTATGTAGAACTGTAAAATATTTAAAATGTCTTAACACATAATTTGCTGGTTATATAGACACCACTTTTGCTTTTTATTCCATTCTTCGTTTTAACTCATGTGGCAGTGATGTCCTATACTTTTTGATCCAACAAGTTCAAAGTGAAAATTAAAATTTCAAATTTCTTTTAAAGAACTCTTAAAGAGTAACGGTTAAGTCATATTTCATAAATGGTAAAGAAAGACTTAAAGTTTGGAATAATTTTGTTAGGCATAGACCGGTCTGTATGTGGGATCCGAACCCTCGGCGGGAGCGCCGCCGCGCTTCCCAAGCGGCGCACTATCCAGTGCGCCACTGGGCCGGCCCAATTTTCTCCATTTTTCTGATTTTAACCTTTGAGACCATGGTAATTATCAAGACATTCTGCATTTTTGAAACCTAATTTTATAAAGAATTCTCTTATCCTGACTAGAATATCCACCTACTGGAACTAACAGCTTTTGTACTTAGGAGCTGCCATTTTCTTAGAGGTGACTTGTTGAGAAGAGTAACGCTATTATTT